GAAACGAGGGGACTCGGATTGTTGTTCTACTAATGAAGATGTCTCCGACCTCAACCAATCTACACAGATTTGATAGAAAAACACAACAGAGAGGGAATTGCACCAAAAAAAAAAAAAAGTTTCTTAAACCCTAACTCAGATTCTTTATGTGTTAGATTTGTAGTGTTTTACTCTTGGATTAATTTAGGTCTGGTTTGGTTTGATTAGAGTTATTTAGTACCGATTCGACACATAAACACACCCCTTTTGTACAGAGATATATGAGTTCAAATTCTAGTGTAGAATCCTACGTCTTGGTAGGATTTTAGAACCCTAAATCAATTTCAGTAGATTTGGGTTTCTTTTACACAAATGTTTCACCAAGGAATCCAATCCGACTCCTTCACACAATCACTGCAATATACAAATAGAATCAAAGACTAAGACCTAGCTTTTTTTTGCTCCAAAGAACTAACGTGTTTCTTCTTCTTGAAGCAATATCCAACTTCTTGAAGAACCTCAGAAAATCACTTTATTTCTCGTGAAAATTGTGTGACTTTTTTCCTTATGCAGAATGGCTCGATGTATAGGTATTATTGCCTTCCAACAATCAGTAAGTCACATTCTTGATTTTTGATTAATTATGTTGAAACGTATATCCTTAATCTGTTTACCACCTAAGCATGTCTTCAATTCACTTTCAACAAATCTCTATCTTGACTTGAAGATCCTAGAGAATTGATCTAAAAACCTTTGCTAAAACCCTGTATGCTCAGACTTATCCGCCTGTAGTTCCGAACACGTTTTGAGCTTGCTCAGACCTACTCATCTGTGCTACTTTAGCACTTAATCTCGACAGATTATCCTCAACTAACAACTCTAGTTGTTTTGCTTGTTCTACTATGTAATATCCCGAACTATGATGAGGGTTGAGAGTGTTCGCATGTGCAGATAGCACGGTCAAAGAACGGCTCCCCGAGTACCACTAAGGCCAAAGGGATACAAGAATGAATCAAACGCACCGGAATGAGAGAGATCCAAGGACTGTATAGGTATAAGACTATATGGTCTAAGATAACATAAAAAAATTATTTGGGCTATCCATAGCAACAAGGTGCACCTACATTTTTGTTTGACTATCCCAAGAGAACTCTAAAATTAAGCATGCTGACTCTAGAGCAATTTCAAGATAGGTGATCTACTGGAAAGTATCTCAGTATGCGTGCGAGTGAGGACAAAACACACTGGAAGGTCTCGTATTGCTGTGTGAGGGCTGGTTCAACATTTCGTAGCGGCCGTGGATCGTTACAGATGGTATTAGAGATGGTACTCTCCCAATATGGTGTGGTTCGAGGATGAACCAAGCCTGTAATATCCCGAGCTATGATGAGAATTGGGAGTGTTCGCCAATACAGATGGTATGGTAGAAGAGCGACTCTCCGAGTACTACTAAGGCCAAACGAATATAGGAATGAGTCAAACGCAGCAGAATGAGAGAGATCCGATGACTGTATAGGTATGAGACCATATAGTCTTAGATAACATAAAAAATTAGTTGGGCTACTCATAGTAATAAGGTCCATCTACCTTTTTGTTTACTATCCCGAAAAAACTCCAAATTTAAACATGATGACTCTGGAGCAATCTCAAGATGGTGGCCTAGTGGAAAGTATCTCGGTATTCGTGGAAGTGAGGAAAAACATGTTGAAAGGTCTCGTGTTGCTATGTGAGAACTGTTTCAACATTTTGTAGCGACCGCGGATTGTTAAAAATGGTATCAGAACCGATACTCAATCAGTACGGTGTGGTTAGAGGAAAAACCATGCAGAAGCTGGTGGGTATGTGATATCCCGAACTATGATGAGAATCTTCAAGACTCCACCCAAGGTCGCCTGTCTTCATTCTTGTTGTGATCCTCTGAGGGAGACGTCCATCTGAAATGTGCAGTTGGCCACTTTTCCATCGCGAACCTCTCACGATTCTCCTAACCTGAAACGTTGCTATCCTAATCTATATGCTTAGTGAGTGATTCGGTGTAACCCGAACAACTCACTCATTGAAAACGACCAAGCAAATACATACATATATATACACGCGGCGTTCATAATCATCAATCCAATCAACCACAAACAATCTCAATCAGTCCGAAGGATATTCATCCTCGGACAATGGCCGTCAAATAATCTCCGCGTACCTCCGACAATGGGTCAGGTCATCCACTTACTTCCCCTCATCGTGGCATAAGTAATATCTCGACCCTTTCGGTCCTTACCATCAATACCATCAATTCATCTCTACGTGTGTATCGCACATAGGTCAGGACTCACCATGTGCAATCGCATGACCTCTTCTCTCCTCGGTTATCACCAGAATAATAATAAAATCATCATCGTTTTCTCATAAAAACATAAATAATTCATTTCACGCACTTCCACCTTCCCGATACTGATATAACCCTCTCGGTATTAGGACCTGACATTGCCTTTCGATGTCGCCGACTGCTGGTGATGACATCGATTTTTGACGTTATTTTCGTATGGTTTTAGTTGCATTTCACCCCTCTTTTCCGTACAAATCTAGCATTTATGCCACATTTTCTGCACAAATACCGTTTTCTTTGCTCTTTAATGTGATTTCAGGAATATTCACGTAATTGGATGAAAACAGAGCTAAAACGGTGTTTTTGGAGCTTATTTGGACCAAGTGGACAGTTACGTACGAGCTAAGGAAGGTCATAGACTTCCCGCGGGTGAGAAACGGACTTCGAAGCGAAAAAGGAGGAATATCAAGGTTTAGAACATCGATATCGACATTTCATAACGTCGATATCGACATTCTCAAACCTCGATATCCACATTTCTAGCCACCTCGAGATCAGACTTTCAGATTTCCAGATCTAGACGTTCCCGAACATCGATATCGATGTTCCATAGCTCGAGATCTAAGCAGTCTAGATGTCGACCTTTCACAACGTCGATATCGACCTTCAGCACCTCGAGATCTGAGCAGTCCAGATGTCGACCTTTCACAACGTCGATATCGATCTTTCGAAACCTCGAGATCTAGGAACCTTGGAGGAATATCGACGTTAGAAAACATCGGTATCGAGATTTTTAATATCGATATTTCAAAATCTCTGTAAAAAGACCGTACGGAAACCGAGAGAGGTTTCGACTTTCGACACATTTTTCGAGACACTTTGTAATTTTTGGTTTTTCAACACTTTGGAGGACGAATTGGAGTAGAGATTGCTACATTTCATTGTTCAAGGATTGAATTCTACACACTATAAGTCTTCTATTCCCTTTTTCTATTGAAAATGGTATGAATCCATGTCTATTTCGCTTTCCTCATTGATGTGTGAGTAGTTCGCTTGCTGTAGGCTAGGGAATCTAGCCATGTTACGGAATTATCAATGCGCTTAAACAGTTGAATGCATGTCTAAGTTAGATCTGGTTTTATGAATTGAACGTAATGCTTTTTTAGAATTGATCACCCTATAGAATTGAACTTGGATTAGTTAATTGCAAAGGAATTTGGATTAATTAATAACGGAATTCGTTCATAAAATAGGTTCAATTATTAATTCTGAACGCATAGGTTGGACTTGATAAGGAATTCTTAATTCGACCTAGGAACTATGATAACAGACGTTAATGCTACTAACGTAGATTCTAGTTTTCCACTACCATCTACTTTCTTTCACCACCACTTGATTTTCCTCTTTCGGGAATCAAAACTTTGATTCTTTCGGCTTAGGACCAGAAGCCGTGGAAGTCAAACTCGACTTCCTCCTGATCTAGAGATTGAAAGAACTCTTCAACTCCTAAGGCAACGAAGGAGATTACAAACAATGGAAGACAACAGAAATGTTGACGACCATCCTGCGCACAACGCTGCTCCACCGAGAGCAGTCGAGCAAAATGAAACGCTTACTTTTGGAGACTACACTGCTCCAAAACATACTTCACTACTTTCTTGCATTCGTAGGCCGGGAAACGAACGAACCCGTCTCGATTTACAACTCACTTTTATCCAGATGCTGTATGGGAGTGCTTTCAGAGGTAACTCTACTGAGGACCCCAACTTGCATCTAACTCAGTTCAAATCTCTCTGTCAATCCGTTAGAGTAGCAAATAAAATTACGACTAAGGAAGTATTACTTCTTGCTTTCCTTTTCTCTTTATGGGGAAAATCACTTAAATGGCTTTATACTCTGCCAGCAGACTAGATCCATATCTGGGACCAACTTGCTGACAAATTCATGAACAAATTTTTTCATACTCATAAAACTCAACTTACGAAGTACAAGATTAATTCCTTCTCGCAAGAACATGGAGAATCCTTGGGTGAAGCATGGGAACGATTCAAGGAATACCAAAGAGCATGTCCTCATCATAACTTCGATAGATATTACCTCTTGTTAAGTTGTCAACCTTTTTGAATGGACTGAGAGATGAGATAAGGTTCTACATTAGCTGTGCCAAGCGGAGGTAGCCTTCAAAAGCTAATCTTCGATGAGTTGGAAGAATTAATTCAACGAATGGCCACTGATAGAACTACTCCAACTGAGTTCTCACGAAGAAAGGGGAATGTAGAGAACGTTAATGAAGTACACGCTCTTAAAACTGAACTAGCTGAACTGAAGATGCAGATCTATTCATCAAACTGCAATGCTTTAGGCGAAACATCGGATCAGCTCAGTGGAGACCAATCTATGTTCTCACAAGAACAAGGGGTTGAGGATGTCAACTATGTTGCCAACAATCCTTATTCCAACACCTACAACCCTGGCCGAAGAAATCACCCTAACTTCTCTTATAAGACCAACAATTTCCAAAATGCTCCTCAAGTGAACAGGAACCGAACGTTCCAAAACGCGAGACCATTCCAAGGTCAAACTTTTCAACAGAAACCTCAACAACAGTTTCTAGAGTACCGGGGGTACCAAGGAAACCAACAGATTAGAGGTCAACAACAACAACCTCAGCAAAAATTTGACAAACCCTGGTATTAAATCGATGCTCGAGATGCTCTTGCAAGGGCAAGCATCTATGAGTAACATAATGCAAGGAATGGTCACCGAACAAAGTGATTTAAAGAAGCAAATCCAAGGAATAGAGTCTCACGTAAGGCTTCTCGATAACCATGTAGCTCAACTCGCATCTAAACCTAGCAGGACGCAAGACACTTTTTACCAGCCTGAACCTAACCCTCGTGAGCAATGTAATGTTGATTATGTGGATGAGAGCGAAACTTACGGAACCAGGAGAATCATTACTGAACAAAGAAGAGCTTATCTAGAGAGGCAAAGAAATCCGATCGTAGAGGAACCGGAGGACGTATACCTTCCTCCTCCTCCACGACCACCTCCTATACCGTTCTCGCAACGATTACAGCGTACTCCGCAAGTAGACGGCGAACTCACGAAGTTTGCAGATATGTGGGAGAAGATGGAAATCGCCCAACCCTTACAAGAGGCTATAGCACAAACACCATCTTACGAGAAATTTCTCAAAGATACACTCGTTAAGAAGGAGAAATTGGAAGAAGAACCAATAATCGTGATAGCTGAGTGCAATGATGTACTGCAACAGAACTTACCAGCCAAGATGGCAAATCCGGGAAGTTTCTCCATACCCTGCCAACTGGGCAATGTCTCTATTCCTAGCGCACTATGCGACACGGGAGCGAGTGTGAGACTACTTCCAAAGACCACATATGACAAGCTGAACGTGGATGAACTGAAACCTACCAAGATGATTTTTCAGCTGGCAGACAAGTCAGTGAAAGCCCCTCTTGGGACTTTAGAGGATGTACCGCTTAAGGCTGGAAACGTTTACGTTCTAATCGATTTTGTGGTTATTGATATGAACAACAGAAATGATGAATCAGTCATCTTAGGACGTCCATTCCTCAACACTGTTGATGCCGTAATTCATTCTAGAAAGGATCCATAGAAATGCACATAGGAGATGCGGACATAGAATTCAAGTTGGAACAAAAACCAGAACAGGGTAAAGAGGAAAATGAGTACCCATTGACTATTCTAGAAAAACCGCCAGGTTCACCGGAAAAACAAACCCCTCAATTAAAGGATAAGGGCAAGGGAATTGCTTATAACGGAGATATCTATATCTTGCCAGTAGCTAAATCTGTAAGCACCGAGGCAGAGAATGGGATAAAAGTCAAATCCGAATCCCTGATTATAATACAAGTATCCCATTTCCTGTGAATAGGATGCGCCACATGGACTAAATCAATAAAATATACAAAATTTACAAGAAATTTAAAACCGTTTCACTACAAGTTTTACGCAGCGGAAATTAAAATATGTGAATATTCAAAACACCCCAACTTCGAAAATCGTAATAAGTACAAATCATAAGTCTGGGATTATAATCCCAGTTCAATGAAAACATAAAAAAAAACCGTACAAGATGCTGCTCACGAGAGTCGTCGTCGTCTGATAGATAGCTACACATGCTCCTCGTTACCTGAAAAAGGTTAATCAACGAGGGCTAAGTATAACCGCTTAGTGAGTAGCCCGGATTAAATTCGGTGTTCTCATTCTCATCAAGAATGTGCTAAACCAGTAATCTAAAACATGAATCTAGCCAATTAATTCACACATTCCACAAGCAAATTATCTTAAGATTAAAATAAAGCAAACAATGTCATAGAGTAATACTGACTCGCTCGTCAACCGATTTACTCGTGTGACGTGTCGGAGACTACCAGAGGTGCGGTACTGACTCACTCGTCCACCGGTACCCACACTAGCCCTCACCATCATAACCGTACTGACTCACTCGTCGACCAGTACGTTTATGTGGTTCCTCGGCACTCACCTACGTAATAATATTGACTCACTCATCCACCGATACACTACGTGGGTCGCTGGAATCCGACCTGCATAGTGACACTGACTCGATTGTCTACCGGTGTCACTAAGCAGCACAAAACATCGTCTCGTACAGTGCTGACTCACTCGTCGACTGGCACTGACTCCACGGTTTTCTACCCACATAATAGTATTGACTCACTCGTCAACTGGTACTAATTATGGGGTAGTCTATTCTGGAAATAGTACTGACTCACTCTTCCACCGGTACTATTCCAGAACGTTAACACAGTACTGGCTCACTCGTCGACCGGTACTAGCCCAACCTCGTATAAAGTACTGACTCACTCGTCAACCAGTACTGGCACCCACCCTTGCACAATACTGACTCACTCGTCAACTGGTACGACACCAAACATTTGCACAGTACTGACTCACTCGTCAACCGGTATTGGCACCAACCACTTGCATAGTACTGACTCACTCGTCAACCGGTATTGACACCAAACAATTGCACAGTACTGACTCACTCGTCAACCGGTACTGGCACCAAACAATTGCACAATACTGACTCACTCGTCAACCCGTACTGGCACCAAACATTTGCACAGTACTGACTCACTCGTCCACCAGTACTAGCATACACACAAATCCCTCTTAGGTTATTTCCCACATCTCACCACATCCTGACTATCGGTTTTTAACCAATGTTCATTTAGTTCACGCGTTCCAATTCTTCGTTTTACTTCACATCCACCCTTGTTCCATTTCCACCCCTTTTCTCAGTCAGACCGTTCGGTCCGACCCCTTCGGTCCATCCGGTCTGGCCTTGGTTCTAATTCCAATATGTGCGTATTGTGTCTGGTCTGTTCGGTCCGTGTCAGTGGACCGTCCAGACCAGCATGGGTTGTGTCAGTCCGCGTTCCCGTGAACTTGTGCGTGTTCGAGATCTGGTCCGTCCGGTCCATGGAGTTAGCTCGTACGGACCAGTCATGCAACGTAGTGATCCGAGGGAGTTTTCTAGGTCTGGTCCGTCTGGTCTGTAAGTCTGGACCGTCCGGACCGACCCCTTCTCTTCCTTTGATCCGTTTGGACCACTTTTGGTCATTAGTTCATTTGGTCTGCAGTTCCAGACCGTTCATACTGCAGTTCTGGGCTTGCCCAGAATCGCAAATCACGATTCTGTGATTCTGGTCAGTTTTCAGTCGCTCAATTCTCACTCGTTTCTTAACCAAATTTGATGCCGTTTGTTGCTACGTGTTCTTTGAAATGTCCTCTTTCAATTTCATGCATCAAACTACGGATTTAAACCCAATCGTACGATGAAAATAGGACCACAACAAGCCAACTCGAGCCAATCACCTGTTCTTGGATCAGATTCGGTTTCAATCTGATTTGGCTGAGATTGAGTGATGTTTCTGGGCTCCTCACCTTTGAATCTCTTCCTTGACACTCTAGGGATGTTTCCCAACCCTTTTCCGAGCTCCCCTTCTCTCCTCTCCTCTTCTTTCTCTCCCTCTATCTCTCTTTTCTCCTCTTTCTCCTCTGCAATTTCCCAGTCCGAAAATGGCTAAGTGAGAGGGTTGGAGAGGCAGTTATGGAGCCTAGGGAGAGAAAAAGGACGAAATACCAACACTAGGGGATAGCTAGGGTCGTCCACTGTTGGTTTGGTGTATTTTGGGTGGGTTGTGGGTCGCCCATGTACGAGAAAGTCGCGCACTAAAGTAGTTGCCGACAATCTGTCTTGTGTAGTCCGTTCGGACTGCCTTTATGGTCCCTTCAGACTGACTCACATAGTCCCTTCGGACTGGCTTCCTGGTTTGTTCGGACTGACTTGCATAGTCCATTTTCGATTGTTCATATCTCCCTCATTTCTTATCCGAATTAAGTCCCGTTTATTTCTAAACGTTCATTGTCACTCCCTCCTTCTAATCATGCATCATATTCATCGCATTAGCACCATCACACGACGAAAACTAGTTCACATAGATCCAACTCGACTCCTTCACCGTAATTCTCTATGTTTTTATGCTTGTCTTACTCTTCTTTATTCCCGAAAATTATTTAAATAATTCACTCGGGAATCGGGATATTACAAATCCTTCCACCTTAATAATGAATTCATCCCCGAATTCGGAATAAGTTAAATCCAAATCCACTCATTAGGCATTTCTTAATAGTTTGTTACAACCGTATGCCGTACATCGGAATGATTTCCTTATTCAAACAAATAAATGGGGGTAGGCATCACGCATCTCCACCTCGGATTCCTAGGTCATATCTAAGACCCCTTGGCTTCGCGACAAGACCTTCACGAGTAGCACCTCCTTCGTCCGCAACTTTTTAGCCTTTCGATCTATTATCTATAGCGATTCATCCCGAAGCGTGTAGCATCCGTGAACTCCAACTCCTGCGGCTATAGCTCGTGGAAAAGATCTGCTACGTACTTCCGTAGCATCGAAATGTGGAACACGTCATGGATGTTGCCCATCTCGGATGGCAACCCTAGACGATATGCTACTGCACCTACCTTCCCAATCACTGGGTAAGGTTCGATATACCGCGACTTCAATTTGCCGCCTTATCCGAACCAAGCATGCCCTCACATAGCTTGAACTCGAAGAAATATATGATCTCCAACTTCAAGTGTAAAGTCTCGTCTCCTCTGATCGACATACGACTTTTGCCGATCCTGTGCCATTTTCAGGATGGACCGAATATTCGGATAGCCTCCGTAGTCTCTTCTATGATATCGGGTCCAAACTCCCATCTTTCTCCAATCTCCATCTAATACAAAGGCGCACGGTCTTCCGTACAATGCCTCATAGGGTGATATTCCAATACTCGCGTGGTGACTGTTGTTATACGTGAACTCGTACAACGTCATGTATTGGTCCCACGGAGCTCCCCACTCCAGGATATATGCTCGAAGCATATCCTCTAGTTTCTGTATTGTCCGCTCCGACTGTCCGTCTGTCTAGGGATGATACATTATACTCATCTTCAGCTTCGTTCCCAGCGTGTCCTGTATTGCCTTCCATAGGCTTGATGTAAATCAAGCATCTCGGTACGAGATTATCTCACTTGGAACCCCGTGTAGCCTCATGATCTCGTCAATGTAAATCTGTGTCAACTGCTCGATCGAATTCTCCTGTCGTATAGGAAGGAAGTGATAGATTTGGTTAGTCGATCCACGACTACCCAATGGCGTTCTTCTTTCTCGGTGTAAGTGGTAACCCAACCAAAAAGTCCATACCGATCGAATCCCACTTCCATTGCGGTATTTTCAACGACTGCAATTTGCCTCCCGGCATCTGTCGTTCTGCCTCCACCTATTGGCAAGTGAGACATCTAGCTACATAGTCCGCATTGTTTCTCTTAATCCTTGGCCATGTGTACCATCGACGTAGACCTTGATACATCTTTCTTGTCCTTGGATGTATCGCTAGCCTCGTCTGATGTGCCTCGGCTAGTTTCTCCTATTTCAACGCAGGGTCATGTGGCACATACAACCGGTTTCCCAACCGCAATAATCTCTTCTCATCAATGTGATAGCCTATAGGGTCATACTCCTCAATACGGTCTCGGTACCGCAATCACGTGTCTTTCTTGATTCAGGGACCAATGTCCCAATTTATTTTCTGAGTCAGAAATGTTACAATGTGACGATGTCACGTCACAATTGACCGTTAGAATCCGTTTTCTAACTTAGCGTGTCCATCACTCTTGTTGTCTTTTCCTTGATGACAGTTAATACTTGAGTCATAGTCGGCAAGAGCTCTAGCCATCTCTATCGTCTCACTCAAGTCCTCTGGGAGATTGCATATGTGGCCGAGCTCTTTATTATCGGTGTCAACCCTTTCTCCAAAAAGTTATGACTTCTAGATCTTACAATACATTATTTACAGTTATGAATTCCATACCGCATTCCGGGTAGTCCTCCTCCTGATTTTCAATTACCTCGATCCATAAGTAATATAATGTCGCCTTGCTTTAATATGCAACTTAGTCTTGTGCTGACGCATCGATATAAACTTCATACAATATTCTCGACCATGGTAATGTCGAAATCAATGTTCATGTCGAACTTCGTTTCACTTGTCTCAACTATTTTCG